TTATTAAAGACTTATGGCAAAGAAACTGGGATACCAGCTAAAACCAAAACAAGCTTTTTAAACACTTTGATAATGATTCTTTACACATGGTCTTTACCCATATCTAAAAATTAATTTCATGAAACATGTATAATATTATAATAAAATATTATAAACAATATTATTGCCAGAATAGAAACTGAGAACTTGAAGAATGCATTCATACCTATAATAAATGCTTATAAAAATGTTGAAATTATTTATATAAAACAAAATATCAAATTGCCATATACCTAAATTAGAAAAATATGTATAATAAATGGTGCCATCAAATTTGTTCTCATAGTGGGTTTAGAAAAAGAAGGGTAAAGAATTAGTGTTTTACAACCACTCGCTTAGGTAAAAAATTTTTCATAAAGGTTTAATTTTATTTTATTATTATTTTTTTGCCAACACGTGCAAATATGGCTTAATGTGGAAAGAAAATAAAACATTTGAGATCTTAGAGTCAAAACATGTTCACCAGAAGAGGCTTTCAACCCTAGACGTTGCTGTTGCTGTTCTCTGTGCCTAAACCTTGCTATTCTGTGTAAAGAACTAATATTACAGTAATTGTTATGGCAGTAATGGACACTCTGTACTATGGTGTGTAAATGCACTGAGGTATTGTTGACGAGGAACTGTGAGCTTCAGGTGCGTTGTAAATTGAATCCAAATATTTGAATTGAGGATAGTATTATAGTTTTTTCTGTTGTTTTTTAAAATATATTTTTATTGATTTCAGAGAGGAAGGGAGAGGGAGCGATATAGAAACATCAATGATGAGAGAGAATCATTGATCAGCTGCCTCCTGCACACCACCTACTGAAGATTGAGCCTACAGTTGCTTTTTAAAGTTCTTGTCAGGCTTGTATTGTAACACTGATTATTCAGAAAATGAGTACAACCCAATGAATTTAAATATTATACCAATTGTGTGTAAACTACTAAAATGAAAGTTTCCCAAATGCTGAGCCAAAATTTGTACACACTAATTCAAATAAATTTCTTAACTTTTTAATGCAGTCATTATGCTAATTTTTTACAATGAAAGTACACATACGAATACTGACTATCCTATTTGTTCTATATAATTAAGATAAAACTTTTAGTCTAAACCTCACAATGTGTCATCCATTGAAGATCATGACCAAGCCAACACATTCCAAACATACTACTGAATGACAAATAATAAACATTGAAATTTAGTGAGTACTCATTAAGCTCTTTTCTTCCTTCTCCTATCCAACCAATGTTGATGGGGCTAAAAACCAGTGAAATGGCTAACAGAAGGGAGAAGAATGACTCATCCACAATGGATAAATTAAATCTTGAATGAGATGTCCAACATTAACTAGACACCTCTCATTATTCTCTATTTTTCATTTTGCCATTTTAGTATCAGAATGTTAGTAATTTTCATTGTTTAATATTATAGGATAATATTTTTTAAAATGCAATGGTAATTATTTATATTTTCAGCTTTTCTAAAACTAATCATGCTTTGTTGACAAAACCCAAAGTATTTTTTTTTAAATATATTTTATTGATCTTTTACAGAGAAGAAGGAAGAGGGACAGAGAGTTAGAAACATCGATGAGAGAGATCGATCAGCTGCCTCCTGCACGCCCCTTCTGGGGATGTGCCCGCAACCAAGGTACATGCCCTTGACCGGAATAGAACCTGGGACCCTTGAGTCCGCAGGCCGACGCTCTATCCACTGAGCCAAACCGGTTCGGCAAAACCCAAAGTATTTTTATTGTAACAACGCTATTCCCATCATGTTTAAATTTATGAGCCTATGCTGAAATACAGTTTTCATCATTAGAATTGTCTTTGGGTGTTACTTAAAATTCCACCTGGTCATGATAAAATAGGGTAATTTTTATAAAGGTGACACACTTAAATATTTGCCCAGCTATAAAATTTTCTATATAGGAAAATGAAATGAGTAAAATAGTATATATGCACGGTTTCTAAATCATTTTTAAAATTATTAGAAATAGAGCATCACCTTTATCAATAAATGTAAAATACTTTAATTTTTATCAAATTTATCTCACATTATCACTGCTAAATTGATAATTTAATATATAATTTGAGGAGTAAAGTGGATGTTTTTAGAAATTGCAAAAGTGTGAGACAAAACTACTTAAAAGAAAATAATGCATTTAACAATATAGAAATAAAGTTATTTAAGCTCTCCTGGAAATATTTTTCTAACACCATTTGAATTCTCATTTGCAATATCATTACAAACAGCATCACAAATATCATTCAAAGCACTGACCCAGAATGTTTCTTGTGTTGTTATTTTCAGAGAATGAAGTTATATTTGCCCATAATATAAAAATAAGTTAAAACAGTGGAAATAAAAATAAGTCAAACCAATGATTTGATATCAGTTAGACAAAACAACCACGAGTTGGAATATGGAAAACACACACATGTACAAATCTGCATACACACATTTACATATTGCAAATTAAGGTTTTGGTATTTTATATGTAAAGTTCATGCCTTTTCAGTGGGAAAACCTATAAATTCCTTTTCTTTCAGGTTTTTCAGAACAAACTATAATGGTTATTTTACAAACTATAATGTTAATAATTGGATTAACCATATGAATTGTGCAATTTAAGTGTATTTATTACATTGGTCCTTTCCACCTGGGGTATATAGAGCTATATTTCAAATATTAGTTATTTAAAGTGTACAGTAGAGATTTATTGTTTTACATTAAGAAATATTAGGGGTTTTTTTTCTTAATGTACATCCAAAGTATGCTAGTGAGCACCCATCAATACCCTGATAAACGAAAATCTTCATGATTCATCAGTTACATGTGGAAACATGAGAATATTATTTAGCTCAAAACTGAAATGTTCATGAAGTATAGATTGGGTTACCACAGTCTCAGACAAAAAGGTCTGTGTTCAGTTTCCTTCATTAACTATTTTCTCTCTTTTAGAATTCTGGATATTTGATGTTATGTCTACAGAGTTCTCATTTTACAGATGAATGAGTAATAGCATGTAATTTGAAGTACTCTTCTCAAAATCACACCTGAGAGTAATGAGAAATTCAAGGAGGATGAACTATGGCATTAGGTCCCTGGTGTTAGTCCTACCTCTGCTACCCACTGGCTGTGCTATGTAGCCAACTAATTTAAATTCTTTAAGACTTTGTTTCCTCATCCATAAAAGGAGATTAGCAAAAATTTATTTCATAGAGGTATATATTTTTCAAACGTATAAAAATAAGATGTCTTAATTGTGACCTATTATTTTTATAGTTGGTGCAGTGGTTCTCAACCAGGGGAGATTTTTGCCACTTAGAAGACATATGGCAAAAATGGAAATATTTTGTCTTATCACAACAAAAGGCCAGAGGTGGTGCAGCCATTTTGGTGTTTAGTGGGGAGAGATAAGGGGTGCTGCTGGGTAGTCTGCAATGCATGAGATAGCTCCCACACAGAGAACTGTTCAGCCTAATGTTAACAGGGGCGAGACTGAGAACTCTGGCTTACTTTAAAAGAAATAAGAATAAACTAAACCTCCTTTATTTCTGTGTTAGCCTGCAGCTAGCAAGTGTGTATTCTGTTTCATAGCCAACAACAGTGATTTTGTTTCAAAGTGAATTTTTACTGGTGTTTTAAGTTTTACTGATGATTGTTTTCCATGTCTATTATTATTATTATTATTATTATTATTTTAATATTGTATTCTGGTGTCTTGTAGCTTTGATAATCTCCCAGTTTAATGTTTAATAGTTACATCCTAAGAAATATGTTTCTGCCATAAACATTCACTATTTCTTCTTTAGCTGCTTGCCATTTGCTAAATCTCTCATAAGAAATCAAAACATAAAGAGAAAAAGAAACCAAATATATTATTTAAATAAACAATTATTCCCAATACTAATGCATATGGAGCTTACATGTCCATTTATTTAAATTCTATCATCTGATAATTAAGATGTCTTTGAGTTTTCAAAATTATTCAATTTTATATATAATGACTCTATGTCATTGCATCCATTTTCATAAACTTCTCAGACAATCTAAAATTAATACATTTACTAAATGCAAAAATATTCTACTTTTAGCATAACGTTCTATAAAATATTTATCTAAGAAATCTAACATGACAACTTTGTTTAAAAATGTTGAATTGTTCATGGTCATTTGTCTTATAATTAGTGTTACCACTTGCCAAACATACACAAATCATTATATTTTCCAAATACATACCCTTAAGGGGATAGAATTCCCTAATATCCTAAGAAATAACATTTTAAAACCATGGGCACTGGCCTTGAGCTCCACAAAATGTTGTTAGTTTTAAAATCTAAACATTTGTAACTTTCTTTTGGATACTTTCTTTTAAGCTTGTTGAGAAGAAACAGAATGGAAGTACCTTGGTTGAAAAGACTTTCTGATAGTGTATAATCTTCAGAATGCTCTAAGTGCCAGTAGAACCTAGACATTATTTGGCAAAGATATAAGGTTCTGGCACTTGGATTCCAGGTAAAAAATAAAATATTGGAAGTTTTATAAAAGCAATGTAGTGGTAACTAACTCCTAAAGATATCTGTTGTATATAATGATTGTACTGACTGAGTCATTTGAAGAGTTTAGTCTTCAATAGCTTAGCTGTGATTTTTAAAAAATGTATTTTATGCTAACTTCTTTTAGCAAAAAAAATTGGGCATGTTCATATTGTAGATCCATATTTTCAAAACTGTTCAATGAAATTGTACCCTTTCATATACATATTCATTGGTAAGCATGTGCAGATTTGTTTTTTTACCACTCTGCGCCACCAACATTATGATGTCTAAAAAGGGGCAAATAAATATAGTATCACTCCTCATTGTCAATAGTTTCTGGATGATAAAAAGATATTTGAGGTACATTTTTGGAGCCTGCCTTTGAGAATTGGACCCTGTATGTCTAAATCAAATTAGTTTCTGTAAAATACTTGCCTCCTTGCCAGCGTGAAATATTGAGGTGTGCTACAAACTGAATCAATACATACATCCAATGTGTGCTTTCTTCATGCAGGGATTTGAGACGGCTCGGAGTGACTCTTGTCGGTCACCAGAAGAAGATCATGAGCAGCCTTCAAGAAATGAAGGCGCAGCTGGCAAACGGGATGGTGCCATTGTAACTTCACTTGACTGTCATTTCATTGAATGAATGTTTCTGCACTTTGTAAACAAGCCCTGAGATTTATTTTAACAAAGAGGGGGGAAAGGAAAACTCAGTGATTTCTAAACCTTTTGGGAGCATTTCTTTCAGCCACAGAATTTGTAATCAGTGTTTTAGCTTCTTCTCAGTGTCGTCATTTTTTAAGAAACTAATATGACCTCCTTGGAATAACAACACAAGGTTAAACATGATCTTATCTTACAACAAAAAACCCTCCCCACCACTTCTACAAAATTTTGTACATGAAATATATAACTGTAAACAGCACCTTTCTAGACTGAATGAAGGCAGCACCTTTCAAAACTTCCAAGAATCTACTTGAAGGGCAAAGTTTTATAGTCATGTGTGGGCTAACACAAGCTGCAATTTACTGAAGTTTACTTCAAGTCTTAATTGTCTACATAAGTGTACTGAAGAGCAATATGGTTAGATAATTTCTTAATAGGTAACTTCTTTTGCGATTTTAAAGTGCTGTTACACAGCGTTAAGTTATAGAAACTAGTGTATAAACATGTTGCTTGATCAAGGACAAGTATAATACAGGGTGTATATTTATTTTTCTGTGTTATAGAATTTACTTTCAGCTGCTCTTCTAGAAACTCAATGGTAATAGATGTGTATATACTGTATCATTTGCTGTATACCCAGGAATCAATTTAAGTTGGAGTTTTGTGTATATGTGCTTGCACCTGTGTGCATTACCATTCTGCTTGCATTTTTAATAGTTTTAATTTTAGCAGCATACAGGAACAAGTGTTCCAGAGTGGAATATGAACAGGAGAAATAGGGAAGCAGTGAAACAAAATTTAACACAAGCTTGTGTCTTTTTTCCTCTCGTGTTCCCAAAAGCTACTGAGTCTCTTTATTCACTAACAGGAAATGTCTGTAAGATTAAATCCCCTTTGGCTTTTTAAAAACACTTTTTGATATCTGTGACAATACAGTTCTTCTAGCCATTAATCTTGCACCCCTGTAAGAAATTTCACCTTTCTGAGTCCCAGAAAATATCTTGTCAAGCAACGGTGACACCGAAGGGCACATTTTCAGAAGGATGAAGGATTTAACTGTGCAGACTTCTGTTAATGTTGTTAAATCCAGGCACATAGCACTAAGCATTACCCCTAAGTGTTAATCCCTTGTAACCATTTTCCTTGTAGCTCAGCTCTAGAAATTTTGATAACTAAGGCAGCAATGAAATGATGACAAATGTATCTACTTCCTTCATAATTTTCTCTATTTCAAGACTTGGCATGTTTTATTTGTTGATGGTTGTCTATTCATTTGGAAATTTAATCTTCTATTTAGTTATGTCAAGTTGAATTTATTTTGATGAACCAATTTAAAGTTTTATTTAATTGGCCTTATTAAGCAATATAAGATATACCCTATGTATACTCTATATACCATACTTGATGAAGACTGATACTGACATTTGTGGTACCAATTTTAAAGTTTATTAGAGTATGAACAAAACTGAGATTCTTACTAAAATAATGAAATTTTTGTATTACTACACTTTATAGAAATCATGGAATGACATGTGATTCAAGGAGAACGGCATTTAAACAAAATAGAGCCTACTTGTGGTTATCAAAAGGTATAAGGAATAGGCTGGATTAGTGAAATCCATAGGAAATATACCTGCATTATACTAATGGCACCTCCTTTCTCTTTCCCAAGCACCTATTTTAGTTGAATGTTAGCACATGAAATAGTATACTTTTGAGAAATAACTTCTTTCTACCATGCCCACCTTTTAGTTAAGTAGTAATGTAGCATTTTGCTAAAGAACAAGGTCAAAAATAAGGAAAAGAAAAAGTTCTAAACAATTTTCAAAGGACATATTGATTTCTTTCTAATTATGAATATAATTGCTTATTAGGTCTATAGTATACTATGGCTCCAAACAATCTATGCTTCAAATATACTCTGGTTCAGTGAAATTTTGAGAGAAAGTAGAGAGAGGTGGAATTAGCAAGTTAGTAGGCATTGCCATTATTAAAGATGCATTTGTTCATTTCAATAAACATAAAATTAGCTAAACGAATTCCTTTTGTACAAAATAATTGGAGATTGTGTTGCACTGTATTAAATTTTGTAAAACAACAACCAAATCTAAGTGATAAAGTAACAATTGAACAACTTCAAAGTAAGAAGAGAGTTATTGATTTTTTAAAATATATTTTTATTGATTTTTAGAGAGAAAGGAAGGGAGAGAGAGAGAAAGAGAGAGAGAGAGAGAGAGAGAGAGAGAGAGAGAGAGAGAGAGAGACATTGATGTGAGAACTAAACATTGATCAGCTGCCTCTTGCATGCCTCCTACCCAGGATCCAACCACAACCCAGCATGTGCCTTGACTGGGAATCCAACTGGCAACCTTTCTATTCACTGGATGATGCCAAACCAACTGAGCCACACAGGCCAGGCCAAAAGTTATTGATTTAAAAGAGAAACAACCATAAATCTTTAGAGCTGATAGACTAGCCACAATTAGTTACACATAAGAAAGATAGCTGCTAATTTGTTTTCCAGCTTTATATGTTCAAAGATGATTAGAAGGTCAGGATAGAATACATCTAAGTGATTAGAATTTGAAGTAACAATGTAGATTTCCTCTTTTCCACAAAAGAACGTTATGCATTAATTTGGATCAAATTGATTTGCTTCCTTTGCAATCTCGGTGTTCATTTGGAAAGTAAATTGAGATAAATGTTAAATAGACACATAACTTTCATCCATATTTAATTTTGGTTGAAAATTTCTAAGGAATGCCAATATGATTTTAGAAGGAATAAAGAGACTTTCAAATAAGATGTACTTCCCCTAAGAGAGGAAATATTTGTTCGCCTCTGGATATATCACCAACTGGGAAGTGCCAATCTCATCTATAAATGTGAGAAGTGGAACAGGAGAAAGAAACAGCTTTTGTGAAAAGCCGCGAGGCAGTAACCCAGGGCAAGGTTTGACAGATCTTGATTGTGTGATTTCTTATCATTTTGGTTCAATTTGTCACCCACCAGACAACTGAAAACAAAACATAGTTTCAATAATTTTACCACAAAAGATAGATTTGTCAAATGATACATAGTGTTTTTGTAACTACCAGTAGCAATATCTTTAGGGCGTGAGTCTTTGTCAATGTTACTTTGAAAATTAACTATAAGCAGGGAGTAATATTCAGCTTACTGATATCTGTTGGAATCACTTAATTACTACTTTCCCCATCTTGCCATTTGCTCACATGTAAAAATGCCATATAATCTGTTGTTCTTGGCCATTGAAATGTATGAATTATATGTAAAAATGTAAAGATTTTCATCTTCTCATTTAAAAAAAAATAATGTGCATGGTCATTGATTTCTCATATTTTAATCACCAAGTCAGTGTTCTGTAAAAATTATATTCCAATATTCTATATACACTTAAATGTGGCCAGCATAATTAGTCTCAGAGTTGCCAAAAGTTAAGAACATCCTTAAGTCAGTCTGTAAAAAAGTTGTAACCATGTGCAATGGTGAAGAAATAGTTTCATATTTCAAATTTAAAAGAAACATTACTATCATTTGAACACGTATGTGTTTGCATGTCTGCTATTTAATCTCTATGTGAAAGTCCAAGGATTGTTAACACCCTTCCTTCTCCCATTGAAAGTGGGTTCTCAGAAGCACAAGCAGAGATACTTACCTGTGGAGGACTTTTTGGCTGTAACTGTGGATTGGACAGCAAATGCTGTTGGAGTCAGATGTTAGAAATTAACTAGATGTACAATGTTGCATAGTAGAGTGAGATTGTTTCTCATTTTTTCTTTCTAAAAATAAGGAAAAAAGAAAGCTAACTATGATAGTAAACTGTCTATGCTTATGTCCTGCCAGATGTTTAATCTCAAAGTAGATTAAAAGTAGGTACAATAAGATGTTGATGATAATGAATAAATAGTCAAAACACTACTTTTATTTGAAATTAATAATTGGAATGCCATCCTTTTTGCAACTATATAACACAACTAGTTACATCAAATATGTTTCTCTATCATACTGTTAATTATATAGTAATGTATCAAATGAAAAGTAGAAAAAAATATTTCTTTTCATTTCTTGTTGATTTCTGAGAGTCTTTTGACACATGAATGATTCAATATCTTTGTCCAGAATGACCACATAATTGTTGCTTAGAAGACACTAATTCTTTTTAAAAAGAGAGTCTATTTATAATAATCAAAAGCAAATAGCATGTCTCTTCTAAATGAAAGTGGCAAAATATGTTTATTAAGGCTGAGCTATACTAACAGCAGAAGTTTCAATGGTCAACAGACTTGTGAATCTTTAGACTGCTATGGTTTGACAATTAATTATTTAAGAATATGTGAATTTCATTTATATTAGTCTGAGAATAAAACTTGGACTCACTTATTTGTTAATATGTTTATTAAGATCTCTGAGTTTCAGGCCAAGTGTATCTTATTTTACACCAGGCATCAGGGTATCTCCAGTCCCTGCCTCAGCATTAATTCAAGGACGGATTAGCACTTATGTATTTTCCCTCATCTGAAGCTCTCTGTGCATTTGGTTTATGTACATGTTTTTGTAGTGTAAGATATGAAATTTTATATTTTTTCAAAAAATAAAAGCCCTTTGAACACAGTCAAATCGGATTGTCATGCTTGACCCTTTTCCAGCAGAATTTAAATTACAGCCTCTGTATATGATTTCAGTTCATTCTAATGAAAATGTTGGAATGTCTTATGCTAAATATTTTAAATTCAATCAGCATCCAATTTTCTCAAAGACCTATTTATGAATCTTTGTATTTGAATGTTTTTTGTAACTAGAGTTTGACACTGAGATTGTAGGACATCAGCATAATTATGGGAAACCTAATTAGGAGTTGATTTGTAACACTGTAATGTAACATTACTTGCAAAAAATAGAAAAGTGTGTTTACCATCTGCAAAACGAGACCTGCTGCTGATGGGCTTTAGCTGGTTCTCTTCTCCTAGACAAGCATCTGCTTATGAAACAGGGTGGAAGAATTGCATTCCTACCTTCTTACAAGAGTGGTACCACTGTCCACAAACGCTCCCCTTCTCTCAGTATTGTATATCAGTCTCCTTTTGTAAAGAGCAAAGCAAACAACTTGCTGTATGTAAAGAAATTAATCATATTTGTATTTTGTTGCATTTATTTTCTTAGAAAGTGACATCACATGCATATG